CACATATTTTATGAACAAAGTTGATTTAGAGGCCCACAATGTGTTGTGTGTAAAGGTGTCAATTCATTTGGGATGAATTTTTTGGAATACAATTTAAAAAGTATATTATTACTATTTACTTATACATGATGCATGTAGTACCTAATAAATTCATGACATATGTTTACACTATAAGGTGACAAATGGTAAAAATTGACAACTTACGTGGCAATAGGACCCAGTTAGTGTTAGCAAGATTAGTACGAATAATAGTGTCATGGTAGCATGTGTTGCATCTCACATCACTTCTAGAGAGGGAGTGACTAGGCTATTTATGTTATCTGTTCACCCTTAACTGTTTTAAAAAAAAAATTTAAGGAGAAACTCTGAGAGGAATAAAATTGTGAGAGTGTATAGGCACTCAAAACAGATAATATCTTGACAGTTGAGTGTGGGTTGTTACACAGTAGACTAAAAGAGAAATCCCCATCTAGGGACAAAGTAATATGACTCTCTTCAAGGAAGAACAGAGTAATGGAAGCAGATGAGCATGATTATCAAATTCAGTGTGGGAAAGAGTTTCGAAAGTTTAGTTTACTCAAGTAGACTTTCTAGTGTATGGTACACTATGTACTAGGGGAAGAGTTTCGAAGGTTTAATTTACTCAAGCAGACCTTCCAGTGTATAGTTCACTACATACTAGGATATGTTTGCTAAGATTCGAAGGGACTCCTAAAATAACTAAAGTTATTAGTATGAATCAACATATGGGATATTGACATGTGTGAATTGATGGCTAAAGGATCAAAATTATGTGAGTTTCTTCTACTAGGTCTCTTGACAAAGGTCTCAAAGAAGGGGTTGAAAGAGGGCAGGGAGAATCCCAAGTAGGAGCGCACTGGGTGCATTGTGTACATGGCCTTCTGGAGATGATGGTCTTGTGATTATCATTGCGATCATTAACCTTGAAAGCCCCATTTTGCCTCGATTTTCACATTTCTTATCGGTGGTCACATCTAGATTGCATTTAGAAAAAAAATCACATTTGTTTAGTTAATATTGAGATAGTTACTTGTGATTAGTGGCCAATGGTATCATTATGATTAAGGCAATTGTGGGTTGGCGTGAGTGTCGAAAGGTCGCAGCAGACAACCTCTTTTGGTAGCTCAAATTGAACGGTCACTATACTATAAATATCTGTATTACTTGCTCGGTGCATGAGAGATTTTCGACTAGGCTAAAGAGAGTATCTACCTCACCTATTCTTTGTCCAATTGGTGGTCCCTTTGTTAATAGATTGTTCGAGTTCTTTTCATTATATCCACTTATCATGTTCATCCTCATTCGATTATATTTAAAATAAATACATGTATCAACCTCTTTTAATTTTTTACTTGCAACACAAACTTGTTATAACGCAAATTCATAAAGATGAATTGAAAACATTACAATTAATATGACACTATTTGATCAAACTTAAAAATGACAAGTGTTGCTTTGATATCAAGTTATCAACAAATATGAATTGAAGTTTCAATCATGTTGGATAAAAAAAAATTGAAAATTAAACGAGTAATAGTAATGGTGTTTGGAATAGTTTTTGACTGGAACATGTGAAATGATGCAAGTTTCAAGTGGCGTCGTTTGATTGGTATCTATCCATTTGCATCAGAGAGAAGAAGGTGGTCGATTAAGTAGTTAAAATGCCATTTGAGAACAATGCAGATAGTTTGGCAAGATTGACCTCGACTCAACAAGGGAAAGTACGTAATGTATTCACCATCTACGGTGTATTGATTTCTTTGGTATATGTGGTTGTTAATTGAATTGAATTGAATTTGTGGGTATAATATATAAAAGTAATATTGTATTGACCAAATTTTAGAATTAAATTTAGAGTTCAAATGACACGACAGCTGATTTTAACTTCTTTATTTAGTGTCATGTCATTTGGACCTCAATAAAGACTTCAAATAATATGTTGTCATGTCATTTAGAATCTAAATTTAGACCCAAAATAACATTATTGAATATATAACATTTGTATATCGGTTTCAATTTGATTAGGATTGATATCGAAATCACATTGTCTGTTTAAATCTTTTTTCATACTCCATTTGGTATAAAACTACTATCATTTTAGTCAAATGCAATACTTCAAAATTTATTTAAATCGAGTTGAGTCAAGACGAACTCACGTGATCTTAATCTCACAACATTTGTATTCTTTGCCTGGAAAATATAACTAAGTTCGCTGCATGATAAAATTATTGAATACATACATATAAGTAAATCAAATTAAAATTACTCAGATCAATTAAAAACATTACACGTGTCAGCACTCACACCTAATTGTCGGAATCTAAATCTATTAAGAATTGAATATTTAATTCGATTTTAATAACTAAATTAAGTTGTATTTTAGCAAATTATATCTATTTTTAATATAATATTTATTCTGAATTTCATTGTGTATTTTAGATCAAAATATTATTAAATTGAATATTTGTATATGCAAATATAAATATATTATTAAATATGAAGTAACAAATTTTTGAAGTAAAATATTAGACCGAAATCGAATTATAATTGGATCCATTGACATGGTTAACTACTGGGTGTCAAACGTGTCGAGTTGGATAATTTCTTGTCGAGTTTATGTCAAAAATTTTAAAAGCCGAACCTGAACTGTTTAATAATCGTGTCGAGATGTATAAATACTAATCTGACCAGTCCATTAAACGGTTAATTAAATCCAACCTGTTTGACACGTTTAATAAATAGGTCGTTTTTAGGTTAACACACATAACACGACCTGTTTAACACACATAACACAAACCTTTTTAATATACATAACTTAATTCTACACCTATTTATTACCATTAATAAATATATTATTCAATCATTTATCCAAAATTTTAAATAATTTTTTTACAAATATATCACATCTCATCAATAAAATTAGCTAAAATGCATTTAACTTTTAACCCAAAAATTAAAAAAATAACTATACTACTATACTGTCGTAATAATACTAAGAAATATATTGTCAATTATCACAGTAAAAACAAAAACTAATAAGTAATAATGTTAATATCACATCGATCATATATAATAGGCAAACTATAAATGAGTTAGGTAAGGTTCGTATCCGAATTATGTCAATTTATTTAAAATATATGGGTTAATTATGTCAAAATCGGATTATCCTCATTTTAACATAAACATTACATGATTTTTTTTATATTTAAGCATGTTGATTTATTTTAATTCATTGACTTGTTTAATTTTATGTCCAACTCATTAATTTTACGTTCAACTCGTTTTATATGAACGTGTCGTATAAAAATTGACAGCTTGAGTTGACTATGAAGCCCGTCTGAGCGGGATTGGATTTAGGAGGGAGGGTAAAGACGGGACCCAATCAAGTGTGGCCCCTGCCTGCCTGCCTGCCTGTGCATGGGTAGCTGGACAGTTGTCGGCCATCATTCTCATTTTGGAAGGAGGGATAATAGTAAGGAATTAGTAATAATAATAATGGCGGTGGGCCAGGGGCTTAGTATCCATGATGCAATCATCTCTGTCTATTTCGAATCTCACATCTCAATCGAGACCATCTTCAAAATGCATCGCATTGCATTGAATTGAATTGCATTGGCACTCACTTACCCTGTTTTGAATTTGAAAATAATGGCATGTTGCGAGGTCCGTTTTGTTCTATAATTAGTTTAAATCATCGCCCACCCAGACTCAATCCAAATCAATCACATGCAAGATTGTGAGAAATACACAGTGAAAAGTCGTTGATTATGTAATTTTTTTTTGACCCTAGTTGATTATGTAATTGATTATTATAATACAAACAAAGTTATAATCTAATCTAATCTTAAGAGGAAGAGGAAGAGGGGGAGGGGACCCACTTCATCAAAGAGTGAAGGAACTTTCGTAAAGTAAAATGGCAAGGAGAAGAAGGTTTGAGAGTAGTGGTTAAGTGGCATGGTCCTCCTGTCAAAATATCATTGCAGTAGATTAGTATCTACTTACTAGTGCAGTGGAAGGAAAGGTCAAATTAAAAACAAGGCAGTGGTCAGAAATTGAGACCTCCAATGCCAAAGAAAGATGTGAGGTCCCATGAATCAGTAAAATTAATAAAGTAGTAAATTATGTACAGGACAGGACTGGACTAATAAAGCGTGGAATGTGGGGTTCTCTTTACAGTTCACGTAATCAATTATTGGGGAAGTCTCATTATGACAAATAAAGTTAAGAGGAGAGGTGTGGGCCTCCCCTCCCCTCTCCTCTCCTCTCCTCTCCTCTCTTGGGTTTGGTTTAAAATCAAATCAACACTTCACTTATTTGACCAAAACCTTTTCCGTCTTGCCTCCTCTTCTTCTTATCGATTAGCATTCAAAAGCTGTATTCAAAAAAGTTGGGAGGGTGTGTGCAGAAGGTTCTTGCATCTACTTACTATCTGCATCCTCATCCACTTTCTCTTCTTTGTTCTTTCAATTATTATAGTCTACCCTTTAGTGCTACTTTGCTTTTACAAAACCCTAGATTATCAAAAGGGATGGTAAAGCGATTATTAAAATTGGAGTAAACCCAACGTTGAAGTGTCTCTCCACATTAGACCCACCACTAACATTACACATTACAGTATCCCCCCTCCCTTCTCTCTCTCTCTCTCTCTCTCTCCCCCTCTTTCCTTTTTATTTTGTATTTTCTTTGATAGTTGAGGGGGGCGTGGTTAGGGTTAGGGTAAGGGTGTGCTGATTTAGTATTTGATCACCCTTTTCAAAATTCCTCACCATTTGATCCTCAATACATGTTCCACAATAACCAGATGAGAGCTTACAGTCCTTGTTCACAGCAGATGCACAGTATTGCAGTTAAACTTGCTGCAGAACCCCCCCCCCCCCCCCTCCTCCCTTTCTATACCAAAGGAATCATCCCTCCTCCAATAACAAATCAAAATAATAAAAGGAAAAAAGGTGCACTTGGTCTTCGACCATAATTCTAACTTAGAAGGAACTCGAAATAATTTTTTCTATAAAGCTACAACAGCTACAAAGGTTATGACAATAAAAGATTTATATTACAGAACCCTTTTCAGTAAATGGGTTTCCCCCTTCCTCTCTACTATATAAGATTTCAAAGGGAGAAAAAAAAAAACCTAACCACCACCAAGGGGAACCCCATTCTGTACGTCAGTGCCTGCAAATTGTACGCTTTCTTTCTCCATTTTCTTCACAACCTTCCCCCTCTTCGTGTCAGGGATGACCCTTTGACAGAAAGCCAAAGCGACACCAATATGAAGACTCACCCAATAAGCGACAAATTTCCATATGGATGAAGTGGTAGAAAAACTACCCTGTGGAGGAAGGATATAATTTTTAAACAATCAAGATAAAAAAAATTCCATTCAATTTAGTAATGAAACTGTTGAGCCTCAAGAGTATCCATTTGTAGTTTTCTGCATTTTCTTCTTAAAATTTGAAATGCTGCACTGTGGACATATGTATTCCAGTCCATCTGTTTTTGCATAATCCTGCAAGTTTAGAGCAATAATAATCAACTACAATTCTCATTTGAACAAAGTCCAAGGGCAGTTTCACAATCAACGACTCATGTATTTTTCAGTTTTTATAGCATACCTTGAAGGCACCAAGACCCTGCCTTCTATCGCAGCCAAAATGGGCCCACTCACCACATATACCACAGTTCACCCAATCCCCTGCGGCGCTACTGGTGAATTTTTGAAAAATCAACGTTAGGTAACAATGATCTTGTAGCGATGTTCACGTCTGACTAATTTGGAACCAAAAAATGAAACGAAAAAGTACCTGTGACACAATAAACAGCACTCTCCGTCTACATCATCATGAGCTAATTCATACTCCAGAAGGTAAGTCTCGTAATGTCTTTTAAGTGTATTTCCAACACCCTGTTTCACATGATCAATACCAGGAAACAAAAGTATGAAGTTCATCATCAAGATAAGTATTCAACATTGTAGCATCAAACACCAAACAGTAAATAGACCAAGCATCCCAATGGCCATTTCCATTATATCACAATGTTATCAAATTTGATGAGTGTACTACGAGTTGAAGATCATATACCATAGTAATAACTTACAACCTTTCCCATATTGAATTCTTACTTTCAGCTTTGCATGGATAATAAATGTATCTCCAATGCCTAAAAGATTTCCCTTCTGCACTACCCATCAGCAATAGATGATGTGCATATAACAAGCAAATTATCCATACAAGAGACTTGGACAATCCAATTTTTGCAGGATACTGATAAAGTCTCAAGGTATCCATACATTTCACAAAATATAGGTATCATTATAATACACAAGGAGGATGGTATCAAGTGTAAAATTGTGGAACTATCAGAGCTAATGTAACTGATATCTGTTCAGTATTCTGTAGTCGATAAAAGGGGGGTCTAGGCTACCAGTAGGGCTGCCACAAAACCAAGGGTTCATAAATGAAAAATATCATCTTATAACTTCAGGGTGGCTCAGATGGAAAACACTTTAGGTCTAACTACCTGGAGCTCCTGCGTTAGACTGTTGCCAAAGATCCTTGGTGTCCAGATGTACAGTAATAACATGCATTGAGCGTTTGCATCATGGCAATGAATCCAAAGAGCAAATGATTAGGACAGTTTTCCTTTTACCAGGAAAAAATATATATTATTAATTTATGTCCACAGCTGTACAAGATTTAAGTATTAAGACACAATGCCTTAGACTCAACTTCAATTCAAAATCTAATTCGGGATTGTCCCAGTAACTCACATTTCTAACACGTTGAACCTCTATTCTGTTTCCGTCTTGGTTTTGTTTTTTACTTTTTCTTTTCTTTGATTGCATCTTTTTTTTTTCAAACCAACTTTCTACATCAGAGACACATTTCTTTAACCGATGATTATATGAAACCAACTGACCAAGCCCAAGCGGCCTACACAAAATGCGTGTCAAGCTCAAGCCAAGCTAGCATAGTCTAGTCTGGCTGAGCCAAGCTCCAGCAAGCCAATCCTTCGCAGCTTGGTTCTTTTGCAACTCTAATTGGCTGAGGTGAGCAAAATGAAATCAAAGCTTTAAGCATTTCATCATACCAAAAAGTGCAAGCTCATAGTGCTGAACAGTACCTAACCAATGGTTTTTAAAATTCATATCAGAGTTGCTCCTTTTCTTTTAACTCTATCTGTTTAATTAATAAGAAAATTTAAGCATAAATAACCAGAAAACCTACAAATCTACAAATTTCGTGTAATAATTTAATTGTGGCATACCAATAAAAGCATGGATATATATCAAATGTATTAGGCTCAATTTAGTTCTGATAATAAAGAATGAAAGTTCAGGCCAAACTTGGAGCATTCAGATTCACCTCCCTAATGCCACAGTATGAAATATCACTAAATAAAGGATGCAAGATTAAAGTTGTCCCAGTTGGCCAGGGGAACATTCTTCCCAAAATAAAAAGCTGAGTTCAAAATTCATCCCCAATCCTTCAGTTTAAAAACTAAAGTTCTTAACTATATCAAACAAAAAAAAAATGTAGAATTTTTCAGAAAGGTTAGGGGGCATACGGTCATTCTATTGGTTACTGTGTGATTGTGCATCTTTGAGAAAACCTGCCCTTTCCAATTGATGCCATTGCCAACATGAAAGCCACCTCGTGAAACCACCTGCAAGAGAAACCAAACTTTTAGTTGATATTATGTTGAATGTCTTTAAAGGTTAAACCTTTCAAACATGAGAAGACAGTTATATACCAACTTCACCATTTGGAGTGTTTCATGCAGCCAGCCCTCAGCAGGCTGAATCTGCTATTGACCAAAGATAAAAAAAAAAGCTCACCTCTCTATACAAGTTGAAGAGATCAAGACGCTTTGCATTGAGTATAGCATCTGGGAACTCAGAATGCCCACCTTGAGGAATCAGACGAGTGTGCCCCCGAAGGATTAAAAACTGCATGACATCCTTAAGAAACTCCTCCTGTGAGTTAGATGAATGAAAAATAAACATGAGGAAATTTAAATTGAACATCAAATGGCTACAGCAATTGAGTCATATGCTCTAGGGCCAAAGTTATACATTGTGGACACAATATCCCCAATTTTCTTATAAAAAAAGGTGAAAATTGCTCAACAGTCCTTCCACGCACATATTTTTGCCTTTAAAACCATCCATACACTTTTTCGGTTTTGAAGGACACGTATATTGTTCTCTTTTGTCATTTAGTCCAAAGTAAACTAGCCTTTATTTTTTAATTACCTATAGGATATTCAGTCTTTCACACAATAACAACCGCCGAAGGATGCAGTTAGTGCAAAGATATTAGACGGAGAGCTCACCGTCGTTCACCAAGAGAAAGTAGTTACAACGAGAAAGTAGTTACAACGTGTTCCCTCGCTCTCTTTGAATCATGTGCAACAACGCAAATGATGCTCATCACATTTTATCCGTGTCTCTGTTCTTTGTGGCAAGTGTTTAAAGGACAAAAAACATTGGCAGCTTTACTGAGCTTTTCATTAAGACTTTGAGGCTACTTTATATGCTCTCCAATAGGATCTAAGGAAGATGGTTTAAGTGAACTTGTTATTTAATGGAGACCTGGTGGGCCTACACTTTGTTAAATTATAACAAATAAATTCAAAACAGATAAAACAAATAAATTTAGATAGTAATGAAAATCAAAGTTTTATTAATACAACTAAATTGACCTAAAATAGTTTTGAAAATCTAAGTCTTATTAAAATAAATAAATTTAAAACAAAAGAATCATGGAAAACAAAGTCTATAATATAGATAAACTAGGGATAACCCGTGCCTAAAGGCACGGTGTAATTCAAAAAAAAAAAAAAAAGAGTGGCTTCTCTAACAGTGGAGTGACAGGTGAGATGAGGAAGGATGGGATGGATTTTGGGGGAAAAATGTGTTGAGGATAAAATTTCAAATAGTTAGCTGATTTATTATATAGATTCATTTTATATGTACTGAAAATCAAAATCTTATTAAAATAGAAAAATTCACTTAAAATATCATCGAAAACAAAGTTTATAATACATATAAATTCATGTAACATATATTGAAAATCAAAGTTTTATTAATAAAGATAAATTGACCTAAAATACTTTTGAAAATCTAAGATTTATTAAAACAGATAAATTAAAAACAAAAGAACTATGGAAAACAAAGTGTAGGATATAGATAAATTCATTATTCAGATTTTTTTGTTGTAATTAAAAGGATAATGAGTAGAAGTAGGGATCGATAGAGAGGGATGAAGTCACCACCACAGATGAAGGAGATTCAAAAGTAGAGATTGAGAGACAGTGATGTGTCGCCACTGCAGATGAAGGAGATAGAGACATGCAAGGAGACGGAGTGACAACAGATGAAGGAGACGGAGTTGAAGTAGAGATGGAAAAAAGCAACGTTGCCACCATAGATGGAGGAGACAAAGAATTAGAGATGGACAGGCAGTGATTTTTCGCCACCACAAACGAAGGAAAAGCACAAAACAACGATGTAAAGCATCACCAGTCAAGCACGACTCCATGAATTTAGGTGAACCAGAGAGATATTGAGTGAAAGAGGAAAATGGAGTTTCAGAACTGAGATGTTCCTTTTCCCTTTAAAATAAGGGCTTGTTTGGTTTTGTCCTTATGGACCGAAAACTTGTTAGTTTGTCTTTGTTGACCAAATAAATGCAGACAGTGGACCACCCATCCCTTTTCCAAAAAAAAAAAAAAATAATGTCCCCTATTCCTATTCATGACAAATTTTTCCCCTTTTGAAAATGCAAGTTGGTTGATGAACAATTTGACACAAAAAAAAACCAAGTTGTAAAAAAAAATGACCTTCTTTATTCCATATTAGATCTCCACACTTGTAGCCAAGTTTGACAAGAAACAAAGCAAGACCTTCTTCCAACCTACCAATGCTATTGTGTACGGAAAATTATTCATTTATATTAGATAGTTCGGCATACTTATATTGTTTCTCCTTTTGTTATCTAGTTTTCTAGTTTACAATGCTTGCTATCATTGTCACCATTACCATCAACATCATCATTACTGTCAATAGTATTTGAGTGCCTATACACTTTGTTATAATGGCACCACCAGACCACTTTGTTATAATGGAGTAGAAAGATGCTAGATTTCCAAATAAAAGCATTGTGTACCATTTTGTAACAACCCCTAAAAGATAGCTTAGTACTGATATACAAGACAAGGAAGAATGAGCACACCTCGGTACACACGTGTATTGGGCTTCTCCCACAGCCATGTTTCTTCAAAGGAAGAGGATTCAAGGAAATAATTTGCTTTGCCTGATATGAGCTTGATGATGTTTTCCGATGGGTAACAGGATTTGCTCCAACAATGCTATGCTTTGTGGAAGGTCCAACAGATAAGTTAGCCTTCACTAGGCTTCCATCATGTCCAGCTGCCTCAGAAATTCCAGAAAAGGGCAGCATCTTCTGGTGACGAATGTGAGGTATGGGCCTCATTGCAGCAACTTTCAATTTTTGTCTAGCAGGATGAACTAAGGGCATCATAACCCAATTTATTAATCCAGCTTCCTTATTCTCTTGGTCTTCTATTTTGACACCATCGTGATTTCCAGAAATTAAACTATTTGGAGACACAGGGCTTGTTTCTGGGCACATTTCGGTTCTCTTTCTACGTGGAGCAGGCGACCTCAACCAAGTGGGACAACTGCAGACATTAAAATTGTTTAGACTGACATCTTTCCCTTGCCTTGCACCAAAGAAAAGGAGCCTCTCTGCATCATCTTTCTCGAATGAAGCAACAGCTAATCCCTGAATGCTGGCGATACCAAGTACAACTAAACTACGGTAAGAAACATCTGGTGCTAACTGCCTCAAAACCTGAAAATGCAATCCACCACAGGCACAAGCAAGTATAATAAGAGGTCAAGTACGGGGGCATCATTACTCCATAAAAGAATCTTTAGATACAAATGTGGACCACCAGTAATCCTTCTAGAAAGAAGAAGAGGAAGAATAAACCCTGATAAACAATTACCTAAAGATTTCCCTCACACAAATTGTAAAACGAAACAAAAATAATGCAAGTGAAGAACCTGTGAAGCCCATGTCGGAACCTTCAAGCAAACTTCAAATACTGTAGCCCCACAAGCTATTGAAGCAGATCTCCGAGGTTCAGACAAAGGCATCTTGTTTTCCTCGCTATTTGGCAGTGCATGAACCAGTTGACTCTTTTCTACAACTTCATTTTTTATATGATCCTCCAAGAGCTGAAAATACAAAAACACCACAGGTTCCAGAAACCCCCACAAGTATCCTGATTTCCCTCACAACTAAAACACAAATTTATCAAACCAAAATCTCTCTGAAATTACCTGATCATCAAAACATGTCTGTGCACTACCTGACACCAGAAGTGAGATGTAGGCTGAACTACTGGTTGATAAGTCACATCGCATGGTCACAACACCACGAGAAAATGTCTCCGCCTGAAGGGGTGGTGGAAGGGCACTGAACCACGTAATAATCATTAATCAACAACCATAAGTATCTCTCAATACATAACATATTTCTAAAAATATATCTCCCAGATAATCCCAAGCTCAGACATACCTAACCCGGTTATGGAGTTTGCTTCCTCTAATCTGACACAGAATGGAGAGGAAAAGCAAAAAAATTAGTATTCAATCATGTCAAAGGAACACTGTTGGAGACAGATGATAGCAACAAGAACACAATCTCATTCTTGTTTCTTCATCCCTCAAATAGCATTTACCATATATGTATGTGTTTGTGTGTGTACACACACATATAAGAGAAGTGTTCACACCCAGCATTCTTTATGTTTCTTTGTCCAAGAAATAAAGATGATAAGCCAACTTCTTTAAAATTCTTTGACGCAGGAGATGAGGAAAAGAGAAGAAAAGGAAGGGGGGAGGATTATTGTGGTTTCAAAGGGAGAGAAGGACACCAATAGTTTCTCTCATTGAAACAGTAGGCCTAATTGCCTATGCACTAGTCCTTAAGACATACTACATTTCAGAGTGATTTCCTAGATTTGCTTGAACTAGAGGAGGTGGCAGGGCACAACTTCTAGAAAAAATGGGATGAAACAAATAAGAGACAAGTCTAAGTAGCTTGAAAGACGTATTATACTTACTTCAATATTCAAGAGAGCATTGAGGCCATCTTCGAATGACCGTAATAAGCATGCATCCTGAAAAGAAGTTTTACTGTAAGCAAAATGTTCTAGTTTAAAAACATAACATGTCTTTCAAAAAGGTGCTTGCAAATAACTTGAAAAAATACTTTTGTCTCCACTTACCAATGTGCATGCGACTCCACAAACTAGAAACCTCATGTTCACATCCTCATCATATATCTTTATAGCAGGAAGAGTGCCAGAAGAGCTTTCTTCATCATCTCCAGCACCTATCTCCGGTGGGGTCACATTGACCTTAGGAGGGTCCCCCAGAAGGCAGGGGCCCAACTTACCATTCCCTATCTGGCTGTTAGAAGGGAGGACAAGGTTGTTTTGATCACAGTAAAGCCTGAAGGATGCATGAGCAAGTCGGAAAGCATCCCAAGTATGACAAGATGAACTACAATCCACAAAAGACAATTCCATCAGCCAATAATCTTTACAATCCAATGCCGAACAGAGGGATGTGTGCAAAGGCAGACAAGTACATCAGAACCATGTGCCCCACTGATTATAAATTGGCTCTTCGTGGGACCCTCGTGTGAGCGTTGAAGTCCATCACTTGGTTATACACTTATAGTCTCACACGCACATATAAGAAGAAAACCACAACTTAATTAATGCAACACAACCATTAATTAACAAAAGCCCCAAATTAATATCCATGACGTGCATAGCTCGTCACCCAAAAATTGGGTCAAGCTTATGCCACATCAATCAACAAGGATGTAAAAAGGTAAGCTTGCAAACTCATGCATTCCTGCGCAAATCATGTCCATTTAGCAAATGACTGAATCCAGATTTCCCAATTACCCTATATACAACAAATTTCGGTTCACCAAAAACTCAGCATCACTTATTTTTTTTTAATACATTCATGCAGCTTTATATAAAACCCATACAATAACGTCACACACAGTATGCATAGAATGTTGAAACTCAAAAAAAGTGACAATTGAATCTTAGCCTGACAGAAATCACTAATGCCACATATTTTGGAATAAACAGAAAAAGAGGGATGGACAAGAACATTGCAAAATGGGGCATTAGAGCTACTCCATGCTTATGCAGGTAAATAGATATATACCTCTGTACCACTGAAAATAATGCATGGCGAAAATGGGAAGAAGCATAACAGGAAAATGCATTCTTCCAATATATCACGTATGGAATACCCTGCAAAGATGAAAAATATAAAAATTAGACCAATATGCTTAAGAAGAAAAAAGCACCCAAAACTTGACCATCCAGGTTTCTTGTTCTCACATACTGAATCCTCCTATCCAACAATTGTTTATATGAGTACCCATCATCCCTTACCTTATAGTGAAGTGCCTCTGCCAACTTCTCACCATTTGGGAACTCCAAATAAACCTTCAGAAGCATTTAAATTGAATCAGATCAAAGTAGCATTGAGAAAAGTAAAAGAAAAGGATACAGAAATAAGGAGTGCACCACAACAGATAGATTGTGTAAGATAAATAGATGGAACAATACACAATTTTTTAACAAGACCATTTTGCAACTTACACTTGCGCTATTGTCTTGCATCATGACAAAATGCCTCCTTTTGCTCAAGTGACAATTAATCAATCAAATCCATCTAACAATTACCATCAAGAGAAAAGGAACATGACTTTTAGACTACAAACTTCATTTTCGAGGAGACTGATGAAGGACAATCCAAATGAAGAACATGTGCATTCTAAGAAGCACCCTGATGAACTCCAAACCAGAAACTACAGGTTCCAAAGTCTTAGCAAGTTCTTCATACATATGTTAATATTTTGGAAGCACCCTGCAATATGAAAATTTTACACATAAACTTATCAAGCACACAACCTTCCCCCATGGAAAGCTACTTCTTTATGAAAAAAGAGCCCTAAATTGCTTTTAAAATGTTGCTTCTAGCCGTTCTCAACACTAACGCCTAATCAAGTCATTGATAATTTTTGGATGTGAGAAAATCCAACTTTCGCTTCCTTT